TAATTAAATTAATTGTACCAACGATTAATTGAATGAATAATTAATGATACCAATGATAAATGGTATCATAAGTTAATGGTACCAACTATTTATGGTACAATGGTACCATTATATTCAATGGTACCAAATATTAATGGTACCAATAATTAATGGTACAAATATTTACAGGTACCAACAATTTGTGGTACCAATAATTACTGGTACCAATGCCTAATAATACCAATGATTAATGGTACCAACTATTTATGGTACAAATAATAAATGGTACCAATGATTAATGGTACCAAGAATTAATGGTACCAATAATTACTGGTACCAATTCCTAATGATACCAATGATTAATGGTACCAACTATTTATGGTACAATTATTCAATGGTACCAACTATTTATAGTACAAATATTTAATAGTACCAACTATTTATGGTACCAATGCTTAAAAATACCAACGATTAATGGTACCAACTATTTATGGTACAAATAATAAATGGTACGAAGAATTAATGGTACCAATAATTACTGGTACCAATTCCTAATAATACCAATGATTAATGGTACCAACTATTTATGGTACAATTATTCAATGGTACCAACTATTTATAGTACAAATATTTAATAGTACCAACTATTTATGGTACCAATGCTTAAAAATACCAACGATTAATGGTACCAACTATTTATGGTACAAATAATAAATGGTACCAATGATTAATGGTACCAATTATTAATGGTACCAACGATTAATTATATTAATAATTCATGGTACTAATGATTCTTAATGCTACCAACTCTTAATTGTACCAATAATTCATAGTAACAATGATTAATGATTGGAATGGTCAGTGGTACCAATAATTAATGGTACTCATAATTAATATGGTGTCAACTATTAATGGTACCAACTATTAATTATACCAACTGTTAATTATACCATTAATCTATGGTACCAATGACTTATGGTATCTACAATTAATGGTACAAATTATCAGTGGTACCAATAATTAAAAGTAAAAATAATAATCATTTTATTATTATTATTATTATTATTAGTTCTGTGGAATTTTTTTTTTTTTTGCAAATATAAATAAGTCATTATTGTTGGTGCGTTGATGAGAGACATCCCGCACGTTATAAGATGAGAGGAGAATAACGACACAGTAAATTTTCTCAGATCTGATTTACGATTTATGTTGGCAGGCCTGTCGAGTGAGGGAAGATCATAGTGTCAGAAAGATCTGAGGAGGGTGGAGTAGCACCTTGTTTTTCCTCTTTTATGAACGCTATACGCTAATACAGTGCTTAGAGTGCTTAGACTTATAAAGATTGAGCAGAGAGAAAAAAAAGAGAGAGAGAGAGAGAGAGAGAGAAACACGTAAGTTAGCCTAAGGAGTTTCTTGGCAAAAGCAGACGTTTCAAGCACTTTACGAGCACCCAGTTTCTCGATAAAGACGTCCCTAACCTTTTTTTTTTTATTTTTTTTATTTTGCCTCTTTGTAGCCTATCTCTTGGTTCTGTCTTTACAAAGCTTTTTTGTTTTCTACTTTATCTCAGTTTCCATCCCCCTTTTTATCTTAAAGATTCTTATAAGCCCTTACTAACATTTCAAAATAAGCCACGTATCAGTTTCGTCTTCACATTTTCCCTATTTTATTTTTCCTCAAAACTTATTTTCCTTTTATGTTAATTTTACCCTGCTTTTGACTTTAATTTAAAATTTGTTTTTTAATTTAAAATTTATTTTTTAAATTAAATTTTTTTTCTATTTTAAATTTATTTTTCGATTTTTAATTCATTTTTCTAATTAAAATTTATTTTTTTATTTTAAATTTCATAGTTTTTAGTTATATTAATCCTTGTTTATAAAATTGATTGGAGTTTTAAATTTATTGTAAATTTATTTCTTGAAAGTGTTTGGATAAATTTTTTTTTTTCAAACGTAGAGTAATTTGAACAGTTTTACTTACAAAATGGAAATAATTTTACTTTCCGATTTTGTTGAGCAATATATTTATTAGATTTTTTTGTTTTTTTTTTCTTTTTGTCTTTTTGAAATTTGCAAAATATTCCAATTGGACATGAGAGTGAATTTTAAATGGCTAGTTTATCTTAACTTGTGAAGAAATTCTTCAAAGTCGAACGCGATCGATATCTCCATGCACTTCGCCAAGTTAGACAAGAGCATAGGTATCTAATATCCATCTATTTGACCTATTAGATTCTAGTTCACAGTGCATAAAAGTTGAACATATATAAATTTTTTTTTTTCTCAAAAAATACAAATTTCTCTCCAATAATCTTTGAATTCATTAATTTTTTATTCAAACAAAAAAAAAAAAAAAAAGAGAAAAGAAAATAATCACTAGAAATTTAAAGACTTTGTTAGATTTATTGAAATGAAATAACTACTATCTATATCAGAAAAAAATTTGATTCAAATAATCTTTTACTTGAAATAAATATTTATATTTTATTATTAAATTATTATTTACTAAATCATTTTTTATTTAATATTATTTTATTATGTAATTATTATTTTACTACTTAACTATTATTTTATTATCAATCTATTATTTAATAATTAAACTATTATTTATAATTATTAAATAATTATTAAATAATTATTAAGCCCGTTTATTTGTTAAATAAATATATTATTTGAGTCAACTAAATTCGCTACTACTTTTAAAACGACTAATTTTTCAAAAGAATGTACAAAAAAAACTATTAATTAGCTAAACTTGTCTAACAGTAAAGTTGATAAATTCACTTGGACGATTCATCGATGCGTGTAATAATCACCCAACCGCCAAAATGGATACATTGAAGTATATATATATATATATATAAGATGTGAATTATTTTCAACGTAAATTAGAAATAAAACGCGTTTGTAAAGTGCAGTTGCATTTAATAGTATTGGTGTTTAAATATATATATATACGTACTATATTTAATTCGATTACAGTTAAATTGCCATTTAATTACAAATATATACACCGTCTGAGTATAAAATGTCGTTCGTATTTTGTCGAAGCGAAAAACGATTCAACTGAACAGTTGTAGTCGCATTCACACTTTTCTAATAACTGCAACCCGTCAAGATAATTAGCAGTGTATAAAACTTCCATTAAAACGAGACGTTCGACAAGTCAATGTTTTTTATAACTATTCTTTTTAAACTATTTTTTTTAACTATTATTTTTTTAAACTATTTTTTAAATTATTTTTTTAACTATTATTTTTTAAAACTATTTTTTAAACTATTTTTTTAACTATTATTTTTTTAAACTATTTTTTAAACTATTTTTTTAACTATTATTTTTTTAAACTATTTTTTAAACTATTTTTTTAACTATAATTTTTTTAAACTATTTTTTTAACTATTATTTTTTTAAACTATTTTTTGAACTATTTTTTTTATCATTATCTACTGTCGACTTAAGGTACTATTGAATTGAATTACCATCGGTTTTAAACTACCATTGATTTAAACTACCGCCAATTTAAACTACCATTGATTTAAATTATCGTCAATTTAAACTACCATCGATTTTAAACTACCATTGATATAAACTACCATTGATATAAACTACCGTCGATTTAAACTACCAATGATTCAAACTACCATTGATATAAACTACCGTCGATTTCAACTACCATCGATTTTAAACTACCATTGATTTAAACTACCGCCAATTTAAACTACCATTGATTTAAATTATCGTCAATTAAAACTACCATCGATTTTAAACTACCATTGATTCAAACTACCATTGATATAAACTACCATCGATTTTAAACTACCATTGATATAAACTACCGTCGATTTAAACTACCATTGATTTTAAACTACCATTAATTCAAACTACCATCGATTTTAAAGTACCATTGATTCAAACTACCATTGATATAAACTATCACTGGTTTTTCTATTTTTTCTATTTATTTATTATATTTTTACTAATTACTATAGTATACACTAACCGTTTAAGCTTATGTACAAGAGAAAAAATCCCCAACCGCCAGGAATTGAACTCACGACCCTAATACTCGCAAGTCAATAACTTAGCCACCTAACCACGACGCCCTAAATGAAAATTTCCATTTTACTAAAAGACATTCCTTATCGTTTCTATAACAATCAATAACGACAAAAACAAATTTTTTTGATATTTTTGACTTTAGCAAACTCAAATTAAATAAAACAAATTCAAAATGAAAAAATTTCGATTTAAAAAATCGATTCAACAAAAACGTTTCTAATTTAATCGGGAAGAGAGAAGAAAAAAGAAGAAAGAATCACACGCACACATTGTATATGGGGAACGTATGTACATACGCAAATAGAATTTAGTCGCGAGGATGTTGAGGGCGTGTGAATCGTGTTTGAAGATTCAGCGCGTTCTTTGGGTGTGTCCTTGCTTCCGCATACTCTTTCGCGGTCACCACATTATCTACCTACATTGGAAGATGCTCATTTATATATATATTGGAGTTTCTTTATACATTCTTCACGCTTGTTTGTATTTGCGTTTTGACGTAGGTGGCAAAAACATATATATATATTTATAGGAACTATTACACGGACAGTATATTCTTTTCTATAAATACTGGCATCGTTTTATGAAATTCCCTGAGTGACACTGTCCGTTCGCACAAAGTGATTTACTTCACGTTCTTAAAGTGTTACTACTTTACACCAAAGAACCGGAATTAAGATATGATTTTTTGTTTTCTTATATACCCGTTCCTAAGTATTCGACAGTAATAATTTTTTTAATTATTTATATTTATAATTATTTATAAATATTTATAATTTTTTTTTATTATTTATAATTATTGATAATTATAATAACAACAAAATTATTAATAAACTATAATCACAATATAAAATTATTACTGAATTCAAAAAAAAAAAAATCTTTACGCAAAGATTCTTTCGCATTTCGATAAAATGAAACTGTAAAAATATAAATTAAAATTGTAATTAATTTTCACTCACCAGGCAGTGTGAGACCACAATTTAAAACATGCTCAAGAATATCGTGAATTGTCCTGGGAGGTGAAACATCTTCTATCTTCTTCTTGGTACCTATAACAGAAAAAAAAATATCGAACTAAATTAATGATAAGTACTAAATATGGCACATGCATTTCCAGTTAGGAAATATATATTCAAGAGCAATAAACTATTAATCAAAAATATTCATTAATAATCGGGGATTTAATTTATAATATAATTATTGTGTCAATTATTACCTGTCAACTCAACTTATTGATACCTAAATTACCTCACAGCATTATAAATATTAAATAACAATTGGAAAAAGAAAAATTAGTTCACAGCCGTATTTTTTAATAAATTTATTTAACTTTTATTTCCTGCATCAAATTAGATCAAGGTTCAGTAATTATTAATGAAAATATTAATTTTAGTCTGTTATAATTTTATATAATTATAAATAAAACTAGTTTAAAAAAAGTAAATAAAAATAAAAAATAATAAAGAATAAAAATAAAAAAAAAATAATAAATAAAAATAAGAAAAAAGAAATAAAAATAATAATTAATAAAATTGGTAATTATTTAATTAAATATAAAAATCTCAGCAAATAGCACTATCGAAAATTAAAAAAGCATTTTGGTAATGAAACTCGACAATCAATCAAATTACATTTCAGTGTTTGTGGAACGTGTTTTTTTTTCCTCGATTCAAGAGTAATCGGATCTGACTTGTATGCGCAAGGGTTCGAGTGCAGAACAGCTGAATAAATTGTACTTTGATTTCATCACATAAGTATCGAATAACCGGATTGACAAGGCTTGAGAGAATATTGTACTCGCAATAACTATACTATTAATTTGATTGATGTATTAGTTTAATCTAATGGATGTGTGTATATAATTAAAAAAAAAAAAAAAAAAAACACCAGTTTTTGAAATGCGATGAAATGCAATTAGTTTCAATTTATCTTTCACACTATTGTATGAAAAATGTAAAATTTTTTTTCATGAAAAAATTATTTTTAAATTCAATAAAAAATTTATAGTAAAAAAAATGTAATAAAAAATAAAAAAATGTAATAAAAAATAAAAAATTGAATAACAAAATTTCAACGCCTAATAAAAAAGTTTTCATGATTTAATTTTTTAAAGCAACTTTTTGACTTTCTATAACAAAGCTTTCTAAAAAGATGAAAGTAGAGAATTTCTATTAAGTGTATATAAAATAGAAACAAAGGATTATTATTTAAAAATTAGAAACTTAGATGAGAAATTTCGCAAAAGGAATTTTGTAAAATTGCTTTTTTTCCCTTTGCATTTTTTGAAAAAAAAAAAAAACATAACGGAATTAGTATGTATGACTTGTTGTCAAAATAAGAATAACGCGTCCATTTAAAGTGAGAGCACGTCCATATACACCTGGCATTGGCAAATGGCCAACGTTATATTACCCATCATACCCTAACGAAAAAGTCGGTAAATTTTCAAAAGCTATTAAATTATCCACTTGCCAGTTTTGCGACTCAAAAATTTCGATGAGAATCATCCAAATAAAGAATAAGATGCATGAAAATTACTCTTCACGCGGTTTTTTTTTTTTTTTTTTTTCAATGATCCAAATTCAAGACAAACATTAACCTCAATAATGATGATTGGCAATTTCAACTCTTTTTTTCGGGCAAAGTTAAAAAAAAAAATTTAGTTTTTATTATCAAGCAAATTAATTACAAGTTTTTTTTTATTGCTTCTCAAATGAAAAATGACACTTGAAGAATTTACACTCAAATTGTATATATTAACTCATTTACTTATTACAAATATATATTTAAAATAAAAAAATTTATTTGAGGCAAAGAAAAATTTATTTTTAACAAATAAATTTTTTTTATAAAATTTTTATTTACGCCAAATAAATAAATTAGCAGAGACAAATATATGTTTATTTAACTGAAATATATTTTATTTGATTCAAATAAATCATTTCTCTGGATGTAAGTTTTATTCTTAAATATGCGGAAAATTCTTGAAAATAGAATTTAAATATAAAATTTTATATTTCTTTAACAAGAATATTTTTTGCGATAGGAATTTTTTTTTTCTGAAGTAGTTTTTTAAAATGAATTTTTCAGTTCGTGTGACATTATTTGTGTCCTTGGAAAAAAGGACGGAACTGAGAGTAAAAAGAAAATTATACGCATTATTGTGGCATGCATCGTTGATAACAATGATGTTAGAGAGCTACAAAAAAAGTAGTCTACCTTGAACTGAATGCATCTTTGACCCATCTAGATTTATGTTAATTATTATTAATTTTCTTTTTCTTTTGTAGTCAAGTCTTTTACTTTGTCCTTTTTAATAAACACCCTTGAAAAAAAAAATTAGAATACAAATATGCATTAAAATTAATTTGCTAGAAAAAAAAAGTTAATACAAAAATAGGAAATAGAAATATAAAAAAAATAAATAAATAAAAAAAAATGTTAATACAGAAATACAAAAAATACAAAAAGTACAGAAAATACAAAAAATACAAAAAGTACCGAAAATACAAAAAGTACCGAAAATACAAAAAGTACAGAAAATACAAAAAATACAAAAAGTACCGAAAATACAAAAAGTACCGAAAATACAAAAAGTACCGAAAATACAAAAAGTACCGAAAATACAAAAAGTACCGAAAATACAAAAAATACAAAAAGTACCGAAAATACAAAAAATACAAAAAGTACCGAAAATACAAAAAATACAAAAAGTACCGAAAATACAAAAAATACAAAAAGTACCGAAAATACAAAAAATACAAAAAGTACAGAAAACACAAAAAATACAAAAAGTACCGAAAATACAAAAAATACAAAAAGTACAGAAAATACAAAAAATACAAAAAGTACAGAAAATACAAAAAATACAAGAAGTACCGAAAATATAGAAAATTAACAAAATGAGTGTAAAAATCAAAATCACATTTTTATCATCCTTACAAAATTAGAAACTTCAAAGAAGATTCTTCAGTGTGCGAAATATGTTTTCTCATTTTATCACCATCTCCACGCTCTGCATTCTTCAGCATCAGTAAATGCAAATTTCACCCAAAAAAAAAAATAAAAACAGTTTTACTATAAGGTGAGAAAAAAAAACCAAAATACCAAAGATGCCGCTTCAGTTATCCTTCTTTGTCTCTAAAATCCCTCTCTCGTTCCCTTTATCTTTTTCCCTTGATTTACATGACATGGAGATGGTAAAAAATAAAAAAAAAAAAAAAATAATCTTGTTTTGGTTTTACTTTGGCCTGCATAAAATATATAAAACCTTCTTGTGAAAAATATTGAACGCGACGACTACACTAAGGTCTAGTATGCAAATCTTAGAAGAAAGAAAAAAAAGAAGAAGAAGAAGGTGAGAAGAAAGGGTCAGAAGGTGAATTTAGAAAACCCCATATCAGGCCCTTTGGCTCTGATCGCAAAATAACGCTCCCTGAACTTCTCTCACCGGAAGAATGCAACCACGATTCTGTTACAAACATTTACGCACAAAGTGCATTTGCATGCCTTTCAAGAATATATAATTATCTTTACTTATTGCGCTTTCTTGTTATTTATTTGCTTAGAAGACAAAATTTTCTCTAATTCAATTTTTTTTTATGACCAATAAAAAAAAAATAAAATAAATTTATGTCCACACTGAAAAAAAAATTTATTTGATTCAAATACTCAATTACTAGAGTATTATCAAATAAATATTTATTTGAACCAAATAATTTTTATTTGAATTAAATAAATTGTATTTGAACCAATAATTTTTGTACTTGAAACAAATACCATTTAATTGACTCAAATAATAATTATTTGATACAAATAAATATTTATTTGATAATAGTCAAGTAATCGAGTATTTGAATCAAATAAATTTTTTTTTCAGTGCACGGACTTTCGATCAAAAATTTGCCTCAAAAAAAAAAAATATTTTATTGATTAAAATTATAATTTGAAAAACTTTTTATTAATTTTATAATAAATTATTGAATTTTAAATATTAAAAAATATACAGAAAAATAAATAAAATGAAATAAATAAATTATATAAATTGCGTATCGAAATATCCGTAATGAAATATTCTTAGTGGAGAAAATCCTCATCGGGAACAGCGATATATTTCCCTAAAACAGGAAAAGTTTTTCCCTATTCTAGAGAAACGTATCGCTGTTCCAGATAAAAAATGTTTGTCCCTCAAAATAAAAATAAATCTTCTAAAAATATTTCCGAATTTAATAAATCTTTTTTCAACTCTCATCTAGTGAAAAAAAATCACTTTTCTCGATCTTATTGACTCTATATATTTTTTTATCGTTATGCAAAAACCCCTATCTTTATTATTTTTATTAAAAAAAAATACCAAAGAATTTCCACATCGAAATAATAAAACTGTCACTTTAAGAAAGTTTCATTGTGCTGAAAAAAAAAAAATCTGTTTTCAAATTATATAACTTTGCGAAATCCCTACACACAATATTGTCGTAATAATTTTTGACATGAAATTTATATATTTAAATAAGAAAGAAAAAAGCACACAAATATATATAAAGAGTCAGAAATCTACTCGTCATTTAATTTTCTCTTTGGTAAAAAATAATAGGTGAAAAAAAAATATATATATTATAGATACGGGATAAAAAATATTATTAACCAGATAAAATATATCTCAAGGTGTGGGTAAAACAGTATTTGTATCATTTATGAATGGTAGTTTGTTACTTTTACGAGCATTGGTCTCCGCAAGTTACGCAATAACGGACAAACGATTTCTTGTTAAAGAGAAACGTTAATGCCGCCTTCGTGCGGCCATTTGCAAAAAAAAAAAAAAAAAAAAAAAACTCGTAGGCGTTAATAATTGAAAATTGTTTTACGAGAGTCCCATATGCAACACTCAAAAAAAAAAAGTATATTTCTTTTTCGGCGCGCGCGAAGCTCGAGTATATTTTTTTTTCTTTTTCTTTTTTCTCAAGGTAAAAGAAATGAATATATACACGAAGAAGCACCTCGTATATCACGTTATCCTCGACTTGTTGCTTATTTACTCTTTTGGTATTTC